TTTTTTGTATTCATGTCTATGATAATAAAATCCTTTTGTTTAAACTTTATCTAATTTAACTTTATTTAACCAATTTCTAGAAAGTTGCATGTAGATCATTTTTCGAAAAATAAGGCCATAAACAAGTTTCACTTCTTACGTGTGTACACTAGTACACGCACACATTTTTTTTTTATTGGAAAGCTGACGCTTCCCGTGTGGTCCGATTTCAATTTAGTCCAGTTCTGATAATTGTATCCATGAGAAAACCGTATAAGTCTAAAGTTTGCATTAAGTACGTGCGTGACAAATAGATGAATAACTCATTAACTCAATATCACGCCAACCGAATTCGATGATTATTGTTTTTAGTGTATTTTAACTTGTTTTGGAATATCTTTTTTTTTATCTGAAGTCGATTTTTGTTAAAGCATGTCTATTTACAATTATCGGAGTGTCCTATTCGAGTTATCATTAAAATTACGAGGCCGTATTTGAGAGCGAGCTATCGTGTAATGATCACGCATTTATTCTTTGTTTATGATGATTATGGTATTCCCAAAGTTACCCAAAGCTATGTCGTATTGCGACGTTGTTCAGTGTGCTCAGTTCGAGTTTTTTAACGTTCTCGATAGCGTAAAAGTTAACTCAAATTAGTATGGAGGTGAAACGCTTTTTTTTTATTGCTTAGATGGGTGGACGAGCTCACAGCCCACCTGGTGTTAAGTGGTTACTGGAGCCCATAGACATCCACAACGTAAATGCGCCACCCACCTTGAGATATAGTTCTAAGGTCTCAGTAACGACGGCTGCCCCACCCTTCAAACCGAAACGCATTATCGCTTCACGGCAGAAATAGGCAGGGTGGTGGTACCCACCCGCGCGGACTCACAAGAGGTCCTACCATCAGTAATTACGCAAATTATAATTTTGCGGGTTTCATTTTTATTACACGATGTTATTCCTTCACCGTGGAAATCAATCGTGAACATTTGTTGAGTACGTATTTCATTAGAAAAATTGGTACCCGCCTGAGATTCGAACGCCGGTGCATCGCTCAGCACGAATGCACCGGACGTTTTATCTGTTAGGCCACGACGACTTCAGACTTCAGACGTTTGCCTACGTTTTACGTGAGGGGCGCTTTTCCAACCGAGAACTGTAAAAAGCTCGCACTAAGCACACTTAAATAAATAACTACTGGTGGTAGGACCTCTTATGAGTCCGCACGGGTAGTTACCACCACCCAGTGCCGGATTGACCATGTAGTAAGAGTAGCAATTGCTACGGGCCCCGCGCGAACGGGGGCCCCGCATATTTAAACCCACGCTATTCCTAAAAAATTAATATACTTTGCATTAAATATCAACTTTGAAATATGTATTGAAAAAAAAAATTGTGTAGTATCATTAGTTTTCGATGGTTAGTTTCTTATCAAAATTATTCTATATAGCCAGAAAATCTCGTCTCTGGCTTTTTGTACTTGTCAGAGCCTAACAACGCCTATAGTAATTTACTAAATACGCACAAAATTGTAACCTATAGATGGCAAATAAACGTATAGACTATTGATTTGTTTTTTGGAGTTTACTCCTTTAGAATCGATTTACATATATAGGCCCGGGGTATGAAAATTATGGGGACCAAAATCGTACTAGCATGTCACACGAAATGCGTTATGCGCCTGATTGCGCATGTCACACGAAATGCGCGCCGGGCTGCTGCGCCGGCAGTCCGCCACAAAGCCTCGTACTGATCGCGCGTTTCTCTCATTATTGTATTTTCATATATTTGTTAGTCGTTTGTTTTGTGTCTCGTTAATTTGTTAATAATCTGTAGTGTATCGTGTTGTCGTAATATAGAACTATTTCTCGTATTGTTTCGTTTAATTTTTTATATCCAGTAAACTCCAGTCGTGCGTCGGAGCGGACACACACACTTTTTTTTGTTTTTTTCTGCCGTCAAGCAGTAATGCGTTTCGGTTTGAAAGATAGGGCAGCCGTTGTAACTATACTGAGACCGTAGAACTTATATCTCAAGGTGGTTGGCGCATTTATGTTGTAGATGTGCTTCAGTAACCACTTAACACCAGGTGAGAATTGAGCTCGTCCACCCATCTAAAAAAAAAAAACGGACCTACACAGATAAATGCTGCGTATTAAGCCAAATGTCGCTTAAACCAAACAGCCTATCAACTCTCGTTAAGTATACAAGCGAAGCTAATAAGTGTTAAAAATGTCGAATACATAGAAATTATCGGTTTACACTTTAGAAAATGCGATCGGAGTTCGAGATATAAATGATTTTATTTTTGTAAAACCAGTACGAAGCTATAGTAATTCTAATTGTTTTCAACTTGACACAGTTCCTATTGTTGATAGTGTTCGCCAACCAAGCATTGCGGTCGGCTGCGACACAGATATAAAGATTATGGACTAGGCAAACGACAGAAAGAGACAAATGTATCTAGACTATATATAAATAAGGGCCGATCTATGTTTTGCAAAAATGTTTTTCTAGTGAATAAGAAGGATGATAAACATCGCAGTTATGCCGATTTGTGCCGCGTAATAGATAGACCATATTTAATTTGTAATGTCTATGGACTTCAATGACCTTTACTCTAGATCACTAGTTCACCTATTTAAAAAAAATACAAGATTAAGTTTTGCTAATTGCTAACAAAATTATATATATATTATTACATTCCAAAAATATTATAAGTAGCTGTTATACATACAATCCCTGACATTTCCTGGTAAAGGCTTAACGCGAGGTAGACCTTAGCTAGTCTACCTATCTAAGGAAATCGGCAATCTATTAACCAATAACTTTGTTAAAATATCAAATTAGACTTTAGTTTTACAGTAAAAGGACCAAAGTCACACTTCAAAATGTTTTTTTTTTGCTTAGATGGGTGGACGAGCTCACAGCCCACCTGGTGTAAAGTGGTCACTGGAGCCCATAGATATCTACTTGACAGTTGTAACGTAGATGCTATCACCCACCTTGAGATATAAGTTCTAAGGTCTCAAGATAGTTACAACGGCTACCCCACCCTTCAATCGGAAACCTCATTGCTGCTTCACGGCAGCAATAGGCGGGATGGTGGTACCTACCCGTGTGGACTCAAAAGTGGTCCACCAGTAATT